AATTTAATAAAAAATAGTATTTGATCATAATGTTTAAAGTTTAAAACACTAAAACTTTTATTGTTCTGTCGCTTAATTTAGGTATTTGGTATGAACAATAATGGTAACTATTTCAGGCGCATTTCTAAAACAAGCATTATTCCAAATGAACCTGGTAAATTAGAGTTATATTTTATGTATCATGCATGCATATCTTAATAATTATTATAAATTGAAACCATACGTATGATATATACAAGTATACATATTATAAATAGATGCACCTTACATAACTACAACGAAAAAGTCGATTGGAATAGTTGGCGGTGAATTGCGTATCAATTGTCATGTCGAATCATTGGTTCCATTTACAGTTACCTGGGAGTCACTAAATTACCCTCAACAAACTTGGAACTTTAGGTATTGGATATAATATTAATGTATTTATAATGAAAAATACTAARCAAATTCACTCATAAAAAATTTTTTTATAAATTTATTTCAGCCAGAGTTCAGAAATTGAATTAGTCGTACGCAACGTAACATTCCAACATGATGGTATTTTTACATGTGGTGCACGAAATATTGCTGGCTATTCCGAATCAACAACTAACGTCACCATAATATGTAAAACGAATCATAATTAATAATATTTATAGGTATATTATATGTTATTGTATACATATGTGATACAATAATACAAAAACAACGTATAAAAACAGTTCTAATCTTGCAAAATGAAGATTGATGAAATACGCTTTATGGATGGTAAAATAATGAGGATACCTTTACATAAATATTAAATATATATAATAATGATTTAGATGCCTATAAGTTAGGTAATAGGTAGTTTGTAAATTGTATACCATTAGTTTAAATTATATATTATGACTATTTTATTTGGTTTTCAATATAGTTTTGTATTATAAAATTGAATATATAATATTTGGCTTAGCTCAATTTTATAAAAATCTGAAAATATAACATAATWTGGTATTATATTTTATCTTTATTGTATTGTGTTTATTAGTTTTGTATATAATATGCATGCGTTATGTTTATTGTTTTCTTTATTAGTTAAATTCAGTAAAAATAATAATTTAACCATGTATTGAATTTAACTGGCAAATGAAAAACCTGAAATGTATATTTTAATATTATGCTATACAAGTAGGTATACATTAAGGTCAAACAAAATAAAATATGATATRAWATTACAAGTTTCATACTAATCATGTTATATAGACACATGTTTACACAAAACATACACAACCTTCGAATTTAAATTAAGTCAAAACTAATTTTTATAATTTTTTTCATATAAAGAGTAGGGAGACTACTATCCGAAAAATTAATATAAGATATCAGATATCCAGTTTTATAAAATTGTTCTAAACATGTCTATGATGCGTTACTAATTAACATACCTACTATAATGTTTTGCTTTATTTTTTTATTAAAAATTTTAATTCTTAGTAACTACGATGTTTATCATAATATAAAAACATCTTGATCACAAAATAGGTATAAGGTAGGAACATTTTTTAAACTACCAACGTCGACTCATCTCAGAACAACAAAATTAGTTGGTATTTAATTAATAAAATACAATTAAATTTACAACTTGACGATGATCAAACTATTATCGTACTATCGGTACCTATTAATTAGGTACCTATATATAAATATTGAACTACTTACACAGTGCGTACGCATTAGAAAAAATAAATAATTTAAAATATTTGCTCGATCATAACTTATATGCATAATATATTTTTCATAATAAATTATCCATAAAGTGTATTGTTGTTTTGAGTGTATAATATTTTTAAATTACGTATCACGTATGTTTATATAACAATATAATTTAAAACCGGAGTCCATATATTATTGTTATGTAAATTATGAATAATTATTCTTTGAATATATTTTTATTTAAATTACTCGGTTTTTACAAATAAATGTGGGGTGAAGCTGGTAAAAGTGGRACAATTGTAAATTAATTATGTAAGCATAATGATAGAAGTTGTTTATGCTTTTTTTATGCTTCATTAACTATATTTAGTAAGTTTTTTGAATAATAAATTTTGAAGACAAGTGATTATTTTTTAAATTAAAACTAAATATTTTATTTTTATAATATTTATCGAAATAAAATGTTTATGTGCTCACAAAATTTKATGGATCGAACAACATTATTATCCGAGAGAGCATATTATCTATATGTACATTACCTATAACGAATATTAATAAACAAGTTTAAACATTATAAAAAAAAATTGGTGGTTGATGGTAAAATGTCCAAAATTAAGAAAGACCATGTTAATATGTTACCACGTATCACTTTTGAGATCACAGATTTCATAAATAATAACTTGTTTTTTTATTGTATATTTGTTTCAACTGTTTCAAGCACTCGATCACAAACTTAATTTATACTTTCATGTAATTTAAATAAAACGATTTTTCAATGAYAAGCATTTATTTTGAATGAATGCATTTTGATATAGTTTTTCCTAACTTATAATAACCTCAATTCACCTTATATAATTTTAAATTTATAAAAGCGATCGATTTATTTATTATTGGTGGCATGAAAAGAACTTAAAAATAAACTCATTTACTTGAATAAGCTATACTTTATGAGTAGATTAATTATCATTTAACCATTATATTATCTCTACAGGTTCACTTGCGTTTATTTAGGGTTAAATACGCAAATAAATACAACTTATTTTGAATATATTACTAATTACATTACCTAGATTCCTGTTAATCAAATATAGTATATATATATATATGAGTATGTGTATAAATATAATAATATGTCAATGTGCGTTATTTTTTCTTATTTTTAGCGAAGCCGACGATTGCCGAGGGAAACGATAATGTAACTGTAATATTACCAGAAGGTGGAGATTATTCGATGACATGCACGGGTCTCGGAGTACCCTCCCCCAAAATGATTTGGTTTATGAATGGTTCTCCCATTTCTCATTACAACGGCAAGTACAATACAATTTAATAATATGCATTATACAGTGTTATATTATACTAAAATTGATTTTTTTAAAGTCGATAAAATCACAACTTCTGATGATAAATAATTYTGTATTAGACCATATTTTAGTCATAAACGACATCCTGAGATTGATTATTTACGATGCTTCGTTGAGTGATTCAAACGTGTACACCTGCAGAGCTTCAAACGAGGCCGGGGCGATCGAGAAAAGCTATAATATCATTGTTAAAGGTGATATATATATTTACTGATTTTTTTACTTAATATTATCGTACAATATGCTAGTAAAAATCTATAAATACTGATATGACATGTATTTGAATTTAATTATAGTTGAAACGCCYATGTCGATGATAGCAAATGAATCTTTGATCATAAATGAACTCGATGATGTTCTTATGAATTGCCCATTAATAAACATGAACCATAAATGGTTAAAGGTGAGTTAGATTTAATTAAGAAAAAAAGTCATAAAAATTAAATTTTTCACTCATAATAAAATACAATTTAAATTGAATATTGAATTCTAAGAAAGATGATGTATTGATGCGTCTTATAAGTTGAAATCGAATGGATAAACTTAAAATAATAKTTTAATATAAAATCCAAATAATATAAATTGATAAAATGTAAGTACCTATTGTTATTAATAATTTGTTAACATTATCAAAATTCAGTTTTGGATAAGTATTCTTACCTTAGTATAGTAGTAGTAGAGTAACAATTTCTCTAGACAGTTTAGCGAAAACATATTTCAACACGTCATGGCAATGTATTGTTGTCGATTATTATAGGACTATGCCAATGTTTATAATTTATATTATATTCGATTACTTTTTTTATCCTTTAAAATCGTTGGGAATGTGACTGATTTTTAACATATGCTATTTAGTCATACAAATTTAATTTATAGTTACTGTTTTATGATTATATCTATGTTATAAGTTTTTTGAATATTGAAAAAGGCCATGTAGGAATCTTTCACCCTCATATTTGTTTTCCTACCACTGGTCATTCGAGTCACGAGTATAATGTAAATGTATTAACAATTAAAGTGAAGATACATACATAAGAAATTATCTATCATTTGACTATTTTAATTGTATAGACAATCCAATAAAATAGGTCATATCATCACATCGCTGGCAATGATGATAATAATTGTTTATATTTAATAGTACKYATATTATTTGTATGATTGTATGTTAAATTATAGGACAGTGTCAATATCAATGACTTAGTTTACAAAAGAGCAGATGAACAACATTTCAAACAAATAAACCGTACGTTAAAAATCTATGAACTGGACGAATTAGACGGTGGTGTATACACGTGTATGAGTTCTAATGAAACATATACATTTCACTTACAAGTTGCGTTCGCTCCTTATTTCATAAAATATCAGCCCGAGACAATGATGATCGGGAGAAACGAAACGGTCGTATTTGACTGCAAAGCAAAAGGATTTCCAAAACCAAAAGTAAGCATCACTATACAATATACATCATCTACGTTATCATTATTATTATTATTATCTAGGATAAAAATAGCTCATGCCTAATTAGTACTATTTAGAAATCTGAAATATACCTGCATATATTGCATATAGAGTATAACGTGAATGTATAAATAGCTATAATAGGTGCGTAATTTAGGTTATTTAAAAAGTCAGATACTCAAACAACTCTCAATTAAGTGACACTAGTGGAYGGCTTCTTATCAAGTACTTATGTAATTTATAGCCCTTATCATGTTTGCTTATTATTGTGCACCAATTGTACAGATTGTACGTATATATTATTGTGAAAAATAAAAATAAATATCAAAAATAATTACAATCCATACAA